TTTCAGGTCCCCACGAGGCCTGGAATATAGCTGGGTTTGGGATGGGCACGCGCTGGCCTTTGCGGTCCAAAAGCGCTGGCAGAATCTCCAGGAGGGAAGGGCCGCCTTGGGGTCAGATTCCTTCCTCCCACCGCCCTCGGTTCCCCGAGACTTAGCTTATTTTCCGGAGGGAGAGACTAGCTGGCTCCCCAGTCTAGTCTCCAGCCTCCCCGCGGCGTTCTGCAGTCGTTGAGGGCTCACTGAGGCTCCGTTGGCTGGCTGGGCTCTTCTTGCTGTCCTCGCTCCTCGCACGCTCCGAGCTTTGCCGCTCTGCACAGTGAGTCGGATCGATCCAAAATGGCGGGGGGTGCGCACGCAGCCGCTTCCCGCTCTTTCCAGCCTCAAAAAGCGCGCGAAGACTCCAGCCGTCGCTGCTGATGCCGGGCAAAATGGAGCAGGCGAGGGAATCCTAGCAATCCGGCTCGCCGGCTTTAGAGCCTTCCCAGAGCCTTCGCTGGACCTTTCCTCTCCGTGGGACGCCCCTGCTCCGACAGGGAACTTGGTTTACCCCACCCTTTGCTCCAGTTGCTAGCCAGCCCCCGCTGTGCAAGCCTTTTCAACCCCCTGCAGTGCTTGCAATTAGCAACAGCAGGGAAACCCGGCAGCCCTTCTCTTAAAGCGACAGAAACCTCAATGGAGGCAAAAGGACAGACCTGATGTAGAAGCTTGATTTCCTTTATCTGAGAAGTTAAACGTGGTCCAAATTGGGAAACTTTTTCCAGCCTTTCTGCTCTTAGACTGGAGCTCTCCCAAAACAGTCATAGCTCGGGCGGACTGAGTTTTCGAACTGAGCATGTGCAGGCAAAGGGAGGCGTGGTCAACAAAAACATCACTCAGTCCAAGGGCAGATAGGCTGTGTTAAACCCAGCATTTGGACTCTCTGAGCAGTGCACTGGAGAAAAGGGCATGCATAGCCTTTAGGAGGCTTATAGAGTGTTTTTGAGGGCTGGAGGGGGGGTGGTGGCAAAATTGACCAAAAACAGCCCATTTTTTGCTCATTTCTGCCCTCCCCAGCCCCCAGGAGCACTCTGAAAGCATCCTAAAAGCTATGCACGGCCATTTTGGTGAAGGGGCGGGGTTTCAGGAGACAAAAAATGCTGTATTCAGTGTATAAGATTTTCAGCCTCTTATTTGAGGAAAAAAGGTGCGTCTGATACTCCAAAAAATACAGTATATGAAGTATCCTAAAATTAACTAGTTACTTTTCATACATGAATAACTTGGATTTTAACTTGGTTTAATAACAGTTAATGCTCTAAGAACAATTTGATCCTAAAGATTTCACATTGCTCAGTGGAGGTTGGCGTTTCAGAATGCCTTGACATTCAGCAGAGGGCAGAATTTCCTTTTAACTAACATAAAATCAGAGCAGCTGAGGAGAGCACGGCTGAAATCTACTCCTTTGTTTATTATTTGATTTTTGTAGTATCTAAAGTATAGATTGTCTGATGAAAACTTATTTCCACAACAAGAAATCTGTAATTTCAGGGTTAAATTGCTAAATGTCTGGTTAATGTTATACTGTAGTTTGAAAATGATTGCTTTTTATTTTTAAGTGTAATTTATCTTTGAACAATGCAATAATAATGAATAATTTATATTTGTCATCCTTCTTCCCCCCCCATAGGCAAAGGATGCACTACAGTGTTTAATAGACAAACATCAGAAAATACCAGGAAATGTGTGGAGGGCTTTGATGGAAAGATTTACAACAGAGAAACAAGACAATGAATAACTTTGGCAAATTATTGTGGAAAAAAATTGAATGATATTTTAATGTGATATATGATGTTGCAATAGTTTTTTATTTGCTGTGCAAATGTATAATTTTACAGAAAACCAAGCTTTGAAAATCATTGTTACATGTATTACTCAAGAAAGTAAATCTTTCAGTGTAAATACAACTCTTTGTGTTCACAGAAAATCAAAGTTTAAAAAGCACAATCCTAATTAGGAATTAGATGTAAAAATGATTTTTAGGCTTTTTGAAATACATCAAATACATAGCCTATTTCTAGTACTTCTTAAATATAAACCTTAAATGGATCAGGATTATATTTAGTATTTTTGTAAAACTTTGATTTTTCTATTCCCTGTATTCTCCAGTTACCAAAGGTTTAAAGTAATCAAATTTATGTATGCAGAAGCTACTCATATGAGCAAGAAAGATCCAGTATCTGTATTCATTAATACTTAGAACTACACTTAGAATTTAGTTCTAGTTTACTGAACAGTACTACTTATAATGGTACTCAAAAAGAGGAAAATAATTTAAGGCTTTGTAAATAATATGAATTGGCACTGCATAAAGAAGAATTTCTGCAGTAGAAATTGTTTTGCTATTTTCCAGCAAGTACTACATTTTTAGGCAAATTGTTAATTTATTGTGAATTTGTATGCCCTGGAAATTAAAATTCATAAATTATAGGTATACTTCTGTACCAAGGCAATGCGAAGCCATAAGGATGTGCCCTATTTAGTATAGTGATTCTGGGATCAATAATCATTCAAACAGAAGCTTACATTGCATGGTACTCTGCCATCAAAGTGAGAATATTTGCATAGGAAATTGATAATCCTTTTATTGGGAAGTATCTGTCTCCTAAGAACATGTTTCAGTATTCTCCAATTTGGTTACAGTTAATATATAGAGTATTAATGAATAGGTCAATTTATGTATCTTAAATCAAGGTTGTTTCTCGTCAAATGGTTGAATTAGTTAAACAGAATGACACAAGTTCTTTACTGTATCATTTGCACTATAGTACCTGTTATCATTTTCATGTCATTGTTGCTTGCTGTATGTATATATGCTCAGACCTATGATTGAATGATTATTGACAACTTTTCTTACAGTGCCCTTCATAGTCAGCAATGAACTAGCAGAGTAAAATCTGCAGGGATACTTTTTCATGGATACTGTTGCAATTCTGAGAATTTTTTAGATTCCTCATAGTGTTGAATCCAGTTTTAATGTTAGATTCTATTATAAACATTCCATATGTTTATTGTGCAGATTTATAATTGTCCAGACCTACTTATGAGTAGCTTATTTATGATATATGCATAGGACATTTATTTTGTTGTTTTCATTAATGCAAAATAACTTTAAACTTTGGGGGAGATAAGTATATCTGTTCTGAGCAATATTTTTACTTTTGGGGGGGAAGGCTAATTCTCCAGACCTCTTATATAAAAAATATTCTGTACTAACTATTATAATCCACAAAACAGGACTTTCTTTCTTTAAAAATTTAAGTAGAAAATTAGCTTTATGTTGTTTTTTTTTCAGATTTTAGCATGCATAAGGAACTCCATCCAATTTTTTTAAAAAAGATGCCACTTGAAGCTAGTGTGCTTTACCATGAGCCTATTTCTCTGTCAGGATTTTTTTGGAGTGGGGTGGGGATCTCTGAGCATTGGAATGTATCCAATAGTAATGAAAATAGAACTCCTGGAAATATATTATAAGATATAGACATGTAGCTATCAAAGAAAATACTTTTTTTAGAAGTAGAATTGCATCATATGTATTGGATGTACCATATTTTTCAGAGTATAAGAGTTACCTTTTTCCCTCAAAAAAGAGGGTGAAAATCTGGGTGTGTCTTATACACTGAATACAGTATTTTTGGCCTACCGAAACCCTGCCCCTTTGCAAAAATGGACATGGAGAGCATTTGGAAAGCTTGCAAAGTGTTCCTGGGGGGCCGGGAGGGCAAAAATGAGCAACAAACAGGCCATTTTTGCTCATTCCCCCCCCAACCCACAGGAGCACTCTACAAGTCTCCCAAAGCTCTTCATGCCCCCCCCCCCTTTTTTTGGCAAAAAACGAGGTGTGCAGAGGGTTTGAGAGGTATGCAGAGTGCAAAAACTTTTTTAAAAAATTTACGTTTTCAAAATCATGGTGTGTCTTATATACTGGTGCGTCTTATAGTCCAAAAATATGCTAATTCTACTTCCAGGAAAAAAAAGTACTTTCTTTGATTGCTACGTGTACTACTTAAAGTGTTTATTCATAGTAAATGATAGCAATTATTTTCTTTCTTATTATCCACTGAATCTACTGTACTTGGTAAATGTAAATCTGATATTATGTGATGACATCTAGTCTTACTTTTCAATTCCCTTAAGACCTTAAAAGGAAACAAGTTGTTATGATGACCATTTGATAATTATCATTAAAAGATTGAACTTAGAAATAGTCACTACTATAATGATTTGTGAAGAGCATTCAAGAGATAAGGAAGTACTCCAAGTAAAGAAGGGACCAATGCCCATATTTAGGAAAACCTTTTCTATCCATTTAAGGGTTGTTGTTTTTTTTTAGTTCTCTTGCTGTTATAAAATGTATTGCTTTTACTTTAAATTAACATTTTCAATTTCATTTGCTGTTTAATTATTTTCTTTCAGACTGATTACTCAATTAAAAAGTGTTCATAAAGTATTTCCAGGAGTGATATAGGAAACAAAAATATTTTGAGATCAGCGTTATGGATACTGCTGGATATTTTTTTCTGAATAATCCTTTGAAATCATTTAAATGATAGTATCAGATTGAAATATAGTTCATTTTTAAGAATATTTAAACATTTTATTTGCAGTTATTCCGTATTGTTTCATTTTTATGTCATGTGATGAAAAATACCTACTGAATAAAGCTGAAGTAACAATTAGAAAATATCCTTGCATATTATATTATGTGTGCATTCTATTGATCTTAGTTTTTTTTTAATACCATAGTTACTAAAGAAAAAGATCACATAGATAAAACAATCAAATGAAAGCAAGGAGTAGCAACAGCAATAGCACTTAGACTTATATACCACTTCATAGTGCTTTTACAGCCTTTTCTAAGTGGTTTACAGAGTCAGCATATTGCCCCCAATAATCTGGGTCCTCATACTGAATTCATATGTTTTCAATAGTATTAAATACTAGAGCCTGAAAAGCCTTCATAAGTGATTTTTTTTTTTAGCGTTAGTAAGTTAATTCTCAAATGACTGCTTTAAAGGTTTTTCCCAGTTGTCTCTCTGCCTGTGTCCAGGGGAAAACTCTTTGTGTGTGGATAAAACCTTGAAAGAGTTATATATCATTTCTGGAAGATTAAGAGCAGGAGTAAGTTATGAGTGATTTGTAGCAAATCCTGCCTCTCTTCTTCAGCACCACAAAGGGGAGCTATTTCTCTCCTTAAAGCCTTTAGGATACAACATCATCTCTAATCTTTACTCGCGTCATCACATGACGTATCGGGACTTTCCCCCCTATATTATAGGGGGGGGGAGGCAGCAGGTGGTACAATCAGCCAGCGGGCCGCAGGTTTGACATCCCTGCCTTAATCCATTGATTTTCTACCATTAGTTCATTCATTTATGTTTCATTATAGCCTGTCCTTATTATTTTATATTACAAATATAAATTATGACAAATATAAATAATTCAAGGCAATTAACATATCCAACACATGTGTCTATAAAAATTCTCAATTATCTAGGTCATGGCTATCCTTTTTTGTCTTCAAAAGGCAAATAGACTTTCTTGCTTTCTTCCTTTGAAAACATTTTACTTCTTATCCAAGAAGCTTCTTTAGTTCTAACTAACTGGTGGGAATAGAAAGAATGTATATTCTTTGCAGTCAGCTGGTCATTGCCACTCAGAGTTCTTCAGACCACTTGGGGATTTAACAGTGTCCTCAGAGTCACCTGAATCAGAATGCAAATAGGTATGGAACCTTCTTGGAATTGCTAAAAGAACTGTGTTGAAAGCGGGAGATAGATGATGTCATATCTTTCACCCTCTATTAATATAGCCTCTTTGATTCTTCTTTCAAACCAGTTTCCACTCTGTCCAGAATGTGAACCTTGCTGCCTTCAAAAGAGTGAACCTTGTATTTCAGATGAAGATGGACTGCTGAATCTTTTCCTGATGACTTTGCCCTCCAGTGCCATGTGTTTGTGAAGTGCTTGTTAGTTTGCCCAGGTCCACACATACCTCACTGCATTGCAATGCATATCAACATTACTCTGTTTATATCTGGGTGTTTCGTCCCTGGGATAGACAAGCTTCTGTCTTAATGTATTCTGGATTTAAAGTGTGCATGTGTATTGTGTTTGTTGAAAGGCTGTATTAAAATTGAATAGTTCTTCCTCAACAGAGGGAAATATAAATTCTTCCACTCCCCTTTCAGTTAAAACTGAAGCAAAACATTTTCAAAGGAAAAAAAAACTCCAAAAAGTCCAGTTGCCTTTTGAGAAAAAGTAGAACCCTACAGTTATTTAATGCAGTTTCCCCCTATTTTCCCCACAAGAAGTTCAGCTGAAAGAGACTGGCTGCCTGGTAAGGTCACCCAACTAGCTTTCACGACTAAGGTGGGACTTGAACTCAGTCACTTGCTTCCTAGCTTGGTGCCTTAAACATTAGACCAAACTGTCTACCATCAATTTTTCTTACTTTCCACATCAAGAGTTTTCAAACGTTCTTCCCTTGCTCTCTTTTTCAACTTTTTCATTCCATACATATGTGACAGTAATTGATTGTTTCTATCTTTTACCACAGTTGGTAGTTAGTTTCCTGATTTGTATATTATCTCAGTTTTGTACATGTATAATATTGTCTGGAATTAGCTATCAGATTTTTAGAAAAATATTTCACCTGCAAAATTAAAGTTTCATGTGGTAGGGTGTGCAATAACTTTGATTGGAGCAGAAATGGCACTCTGAAAAAAAAAAGAATGACAGGGAAGCCACAATTACATTTTCTTAAATAAATTACACAATCTCTCTTAATTTCTTCAAGGGAAAGTCAAATTCTGCAGCAGTTCCTCAAGAGCAGAACTCCTCTTTGATGTAGATAAGAGAATCAGTCTTAAAAGTCTTCCTTTTTGATTTAACTGAAGCATGGGAAGCAGAGAGACTGGACCAATGGATATTTTATTTACCATATATGGAAATTGTCCATCTCCTTCACAGAGGGACTGTAGGTAGTGTACAAATAAAATATTAAAACATAAAAATTGCAAATAAAATTTTAAATAGGCAAGGATAATTCAAATTCAAGATTAAAAGTCATT